AACGTTCTTCTGAAAGACTTTCAAGTGACACTATTAGCTTCTTCTGAATATTTAATTTTTTGAAGACCATTTCTCTGTTTAAACTTATAAACCCATTCATTAGCAATTTATTTCATTTTCAATATTTAATTTTTGAGCAAATTCCAATCCTTTTTGTTGTAAAATTGTGTCAGATAAAGGAAGTTCTGCAGCTATTGCTTGTGAAGTCCATATTTGCATAGTTTTATCAAATAATAAAAATTGAGGAGAACCTAATTTAAAAGTTTCTGAAGTCTGTAAATTAGGGAGAATAGTTAGCCATCTTTCACGATTTTGCTAAATTTTATTAATGATAGTTCTATCAATATCCAACTATATTTAATATTAAAAAAAAAGCAACTATAGTTTGTTTATATTAGGATTAGCCACTATATATTCACATATTTCTTTTTATATTTACAATAATAGCAGTGCATTTTCTTTTTTGCAAATTATAAAACTTATGAGTAATATAATTAATTATAAAAATAAAACTAACCATAAAAAACATGAAAAAATGCGAAATTTACTTATGTTTTCAATTTTAAAATCATGTGATGTGAGTATATAAAAAGAAATTTTACTATGTTAATCATTAACTTGTACTTTAAATAAGTGCAACAGTAATTATAATGCAATTGTAACTATAAAGCAGACATTTTCTATTTAAAAAATTAGGACTGAGTTATATTATGATTATAGAGAAAAGTGATTATAAAAGAGCTGACTATAAAAGGGTTAACTGTATATACTGCGTAATATTTATTTGTTTACAGTATTAGAAATAAAAATAATAATAATTACATCTAAATTGTTAAAAACAACTTTTATTATAAAAAAATAACTAAAGTTACACCTAAACTGTTAAATAAATTTTATTAGAAAAAATGATAATAAAATTATTTCTGATAGTTCAAAAATGACTTTTATTATATTTTTTTATAATAAAGTCATCTGATAGTTTAAATGTAATTTTATTATCATTTTTTATAATAAAAATTACTTTTGATAATTCAGATGTAACTTTATTTTCATTTTCTATAATAAAAGTTTTTTTTGATAGTTCAGTATGACTTTTTATTAATATTTTTTATAATAAAAGTTATTTGACAGTTTAGATGCAACTTTATTATCATTTTTCTAATAAAAATCACTTTTGACTAAAGTTATTGGTAAGATTGCTATCTTAAAATTAGTTTTAGTTAAATAAAACAAGTTTAATAGTTTCAGTTATTAATTAATCTAGTTTTAATACTTAACTAAACTAGTTTCAGTAAGTTTAAACTATAGAATTTTAGTTTTGAATAACATTACTAATTGCTAGACAAAATTTAGAGTTTAAACAAGCAACTAAATAGTAAAGGTAAATCTTAGTTTAATTATATTAAAACTTTTATTAAAAAATCTGCAAAATTCAAAAATAATAAAATTATATCAAAGCTTATAAAAATGGCAAAACTATATCAACTACTTAGTAAAAATTTAGTAAAATTAAAGGTTTAAATATCCAAAATAGATTTAGACAAACAACCTTAGATATGTATTTTAATTGAAAGGATATTGTGATGTAATAGGATCATTTGATAAATTTTCATTATATTGTATTATAATAATAAGCATTTCTAAATTATTTTTAAAAAATTTAAGTTTTGAGATATTTGAGATTAAACTATTTGTTTATAATAAATCTCTTTACCTAAACTTCTAATAAGTTTTTTTAAACCTAATTAAGTTTTAATTAAATTTTAGATTTAAAAAAGATTATTTTAAAGGTTTAAAAAAGTTTTAAATTTTAAGCTACACGTTAAAATAGGTTTCGAATAATATTATTATTAAAGATAAGCATCATAATTAAGAAGTTGCAACTTGGTTGTAACTTCTTGTAAATTTATTTTAATATAAAAATTCATAAAATGTTGCAACTCAAAGAGTTGCAACTTAAGTTATAACTAATTAAAAATTTTAAAAATAATTATGGAAACCATCTTTAATCATTATATTATAATAAAAAAAATAAAAATTTTATGTAAATATATTGATCTAGAGTACTTTACATAAAAAAGCAATATATAATATCTGAATACTTTATATTCTAAAGGGATTATTCATTATAGATAAGAAGTAAGCATAATGAATTTAAACCTGACTGGATGTTCTTAAAATAATTATTACATATTAAATTTTATATGAAAAAATGATTGTTTATCTTTAAATGGATTCGTAACCATAGGATAAATTGCAATAAAAATTTTTTTAAAGTTTATCTTTTATTTTATGAACTATTAAATTTAAAGTAATTTAGTAAGCAGAAAAATAATTCAGAATTTAACTAATAAGAATATTTTTTTTATAAAAATCATTTATTATTATAAAAAATATAATACAAGTAAAATGTTATTTACCAAAAAGAACTATTTCTTTTTAACAAAAGAAGATAAAAAGAAAGGCTTGATATTGTGATTTAGAGTGTCAGAATGATGTCAATGATTATAAATAACACAGCATATCTATTATATCCTATCAAATAAATATATCAAATTCTAATCAATATCTTCATTTAATAGAAAAAGTTTTATACTAAAAATATTACAACAAACTTATTGTAAATACAAAAAAAATGAAAATAAATATATGTTCACATCTGAAGCATAGGATTTATCTATCTATAGCTTGATACAAAAAAGATTATTAAAGTTATCAGAAGATTCTGACTTTATTTAACAAATTAGTATAGATAGGTAGTGTTATCACAGGACATTTTTAGACAATATTTTAGATATAATGTTGAACATTTAGACATAATGTTAGACATTTTTAAAATGCTTTGGATATAAAAAATGTATAACACTGTAAATAGGGTAAAAATATATTGAATATTACTGAACCCATTGGTGATATTATTGGTAACATATATCTATACTTTTTGAAAGAGTTGTGAATATTTTAACAAATATATAATTTAGAAAAATTATTATTTGTCATATGTGGCATACTGTAACAAAACCAGACAAAGTGAACATTGGTATTACTAAGAATTTCAGGGATTGTTTAATATCACAATGTAATGTGATCATGATATTTGTTTAGACAAAAATAGTTAATATGAAACTAATTTACATCAGATCTACTATGGAACCTAGCACCTTATATTTTCAAAATAAATGATACTCAAACACTTGAAGCTTATCTATGAAATTTACCATGAAGAAAGAAAAATAATAAACATTAGAAAAAGAAAGCATCATGATGATGTATTATTACCTAATAAAAAGCAAAAATCTTTAAAAGGAATTCATCTGATTCACAATCAATTTTTATAAACACCAAAAATAGTCAAATTGTCAGACGAAATAAATTGTTGATGAAATAATTGGCAAGAAATAATTGTCGAAGAAATGAACTGTCGACGAAATGAATCAGATCTTCCTAGAATGGAGTTGTGCTAAAAACCATAAATGGAAAGTTCAACTTAGTAATGTAAAAGATAGAAATTAGTGTTCATGGTGTTCACGTGTAGGCTATCATACTCTTGAAGACGCAAAACAAGCAGCGCATAATAGAAATGGTGAGTGTCTATCAAAAACATTTGTTAATATTTATTATGGCATTGTATTAAGAGACACACATGGTATGCAAATTTAAATCATGTAAAAAATACTAATACCTGGCGTGCAAGTAATATTCGGTTTACTATTGAAGAAGCTAAACAAATTGCTTATAGTAAAAATGGTAACTGCCTTTCAGAAAAGTATGTCAATTGTCAGGTTCTGTTACAATATTGTTGTGCTAAAAAGGCATGAATAGAATGCAAATTTGAATCATATAAAATATAATAGGTGGTGTCCATTTTGTTAAAATAAAAAAAAAATAAGAAGTTAAGAAATTAATATGAAGATCTGTGTTAAAAAATAATTACCGAGTATTTAGGACCTTTATCAAAAATTCGGAAAGCTGATTTCTTAAAATATCAGAATATTCATATGGGTTAGAACTTGATATTTATTATCCAGAATATAGTCTTGCAATTGAAGTCCAAGGAGAACAACATAAGCTTTATGTAGAATTCTTTCATCGAGATCAGAATGGATTTAACAAAAAGCTATATCGTGATCAATTAAAAAAGAAATTGTGTGAAGAGAATTGGATTGTATTAAGGTATGTTTAGTATTACGAAGACCTATATATAGCTATTCTAGAGCATCTTCGAGAATTGGGTCTTACTGAATAGAGTTAAAACTTCAAATGAATTTATAATATTGTATTTTTTTTTCTGTACAAATATACATATTGTTATTATTTTGATCAAGTTGAAAAACCGAAAGTATGCACCATGATTTCATAAGAGAATGAATGTTCAATGATGTATAACAACATATTAGTTGCTTGCAAAATGGCAAAATAAAAAAATTCATTGCACTTTCGTAATTGAGTATACATATTTGTGTGTATTAGTATGCGAGTCTGAATTTTTATTTTCCTGAATCGTATATGAGAAGGTTAATAGCATAATACAATTATATTGGTGCATACATTTTTTATTTTTCCCTACTACTTATCACGCATACAAAAATTAAAAACTTTTTCAATGGTTAATATAAAATATATTTCATTTCTCTTTGCTATTCTAAACTAATTAAATTCACACTATATTATATCATCTCCAATAACATGTAATATGGGATCTTCAATTTCTTCTGATGGCAATTCAGAAATAATTAATTTAGATTTTGTTGCAGCTGTTATTATTTTCTCATCATAAAAATGAAAGAATTCAATACTTAGCCTATAATAACTAAGAATTAAATAAAATTTGATTATATATCAGACATTTGTTTTACAAGCAAAAAAAATATCTAAGTTCTTAGGCAACATAATTCTAGCTAAGCATTTTTATCAAAAATATGATTTTAATAAACCCTCCTGCTAATTAGACGATGTAAACCGACTCTCAAAACAACAAACAAGCACTTCAAATCAGCATCTTATCGATTTTTTAATGGTTCTAAATAATCATTACATTTCTTTCTAATCTTTGAATCCAAAACTTCACAGACTGTTTTTTGATTTGATCGGTAATAATCACTGATTTCAAGATTTAAAATTTCGTCCTCAGATTTTTTCATTAATGAAAGTGAGATTCGAGTAGCCCCTTGCCAACTATTATAAATTCTATCTAACTTTATACATTCCATTTTAATATTGTCAAACTCAATTGCAATTCATTTTCCCATACTGATTTTTACTAAATCTATAACCTTCTTGCATGAATATTTGCTATTAAAACAGACTTGAAACTCTGGTTCAATGTTAGCATGTAAAGTTAGAATCAAAGTATCTAAAAATGTTTGCTTTAATACTTCCTCATTGGAGTGTACAATACTATTGTTTTTCAAGGGTTTAAGTAATAATTCTTCAACAAATCGATATAATAGATCGATATCATTGTTTCCCTCCAAAATCTGTAAACATTGTTGAACAGGTGTTAAATCATCATCTTTCCATTCATGAATTTTGAGAGCTTCTACTATGAATTCTCTTTTTGAAATATTATTCAGAATCCGAAAACTGAAACATAAACCGTTTGGTTGATAGGTAAGAGCTCCGGTATAGAACAAGAAAGATAACAATTGGGTATGATCTGTGGCCAGTTCACAAATGTTCGCAAGTCGAAATTATTGTTTGATACCATTTTTAGATTCAAGAGAAAATTGTCTGATCGCTTCAGTAAATATTGATTTACCCATGGAGTTGTCTACAATTAAGTCCAGTGTTGTTTGAGAGGGCAATGTGTGTGGATCAAGAGGAAATTAAAGAAGCTTTTTAATAATTATTGAAGTATCCTTGCAATATTCTATATGTTTTACTCTTCCAATTAGCATCTTAATACTATATAAAATACTAACAGTATTGAATATACATTCTTTTTGATTAGTGTTAAAATAATATCCCTATATTCATTTTCCAACCATTTGATTATTCCATTTTTAATGTCATTTGGAAAACTATTTTCAGAAATATTTTCTAAGAGGACTTTTACTTCTGACTTCTTGAACCCATACAGATTCTAAAATTCCTCTCTTAGTATCAAGTTTGTTGAAATATTAAATCCTGAAGTGAACTTGCCTATAACAATAGGGGTTACGCCAGTTTAAAAAACATAGGCAATGCCTTTATCGCAAGCAGTCTTCAAACAACTGTAGAATTGTTTGAACAAACTTTGAATTAATTCAATTTTGCTTTAATAGAGTCACCTTCCTTTTTGTGATTAGTAAGATCTTGGAAAATGGTTTCATTTTTAAAAGTTTCATTTATACTCGCATCATATTCATCAATGAAAACGTAGAGCTAAAGAAATGAAAAAATATTTATTTACCATTTTTTCAAATAGAAATGATAACTAACTAGTGATGATGACAAACTAAATACCTTGTACTCATTCAACCGCACTGCCTTCAATAAGTTCGAAAAATTTGCCAAAGCATTTGTATTTTCATCATAAATTTGAAAATGTTGTTCCAACTCCTGTTGATATTGATACATGAACTCCAATATAAATATATTCAAACTTTGGTAAAGATCCTCATCAAAGATATTATATGTTGTATTGGTACGGAGTCCAGAAAAATTGAGTTCAAAAACAAGAAATGACGATGCTAATAGTGTGGGATTTTTTCCAATGTATAAATCGCCAAACAATTGTTCAAATCGATCTCTGTTTTTTATATTATAATATGAGGACAAGGTAGAGAGGAATAATGTTTTTCCAAAATGGCGAGGATGTAGAGAAAGAATAGCATGAGTCTTGAGATTCTCTATTTTATGGATAAAGTAGATTTTATCTAAGTAATAATAACCTTTCTGCCTCAAATCAACAAATGACCTGTTGAAAGTATTTCAAGAGGTTTTAAACATGACTTATCTGTTATTTTTTCAAATTCTATTAAGTCACTCTCAATAAGTGATGGATTTTGTGATTCATTATCATCATCTGCGGAAAAAGCAGATGCAGGATCTTTGGTTGTTTTAATCTGTGAAGAAAAAAAAGTTTGAGAGAAATTCATGTGACTAATTATTATCTACAAGTTATATTGTGCTGACCTTCTTAAAGGCAACTTCTTTTTTATTTTCATAAGGTCACTTGTTTACCACTTCTTTAGTCCACTCATCAATCTCCGCTTCGATAACTGTGGCAACACCTTTTTGGTATTTTGTGATGCTCTTTTGCTTTTAAAATAACATATATTGTAATGAACTCATTTTTATAGCAGAAAAAATAAACAACCAGCTAATATGTACAGTAAACTCTTGATATAACGAATTCTAGGATCTGGATATCAACTTCGTTATAAGCTTATAATGAATTTTTTAAAGAATTTAATTGGCTAGTTCACTATAGTAAAGGTAATTTTAATATATTTGATTTAAAAATTCACTATATTAAGAGTTCGCTATATCAAGGTTTTGACTGTATATATAAACTTAACATTGTCTAAAAATAATTTAAACAGAATATTTTTTTCAAAAGTATTTAAAAAAAATAATTTATCAAGGATAATTAATGTTTATATAATTTTATTTAAAAAAAGATGATCTACAAATTTTATTATTTTATTTAATCTGCAGTAAGGTGACCCATATTCTGCGACAGTATAATATATGCAAAAATTAAGATTTTTCGCATTAGCATATGCTGTTGCAGATTTATTAAATTTTGCATTTTTCACTTATCAATAGCATATCTGCAATTAAGATCTATAGATTAAGATTAAGATCATGATTTGAGATGATCAATTGATCGTTTCTAATCTTTTATTTTTTTTTAATAATGATTACAGCAACTGAGCATAGACTCGAAAGTTCAAAATATAAAAAAAAATTTTATGTTGATGGTCAAAAACTGTTTTGTGAATTTTGTTAAAGTGTTTTAGACCAAAAAAAATCCACATTAGATTTACATTTAAAGTCAGACAAATATAGAAAAAATGTACATAATGCTGAAAATAAAATAAGACTTCGTCAAATTACCTTTAATATTAATAATAATGGGTTAAATGAACGTGAAGTTATTAATACTGCTTTAGTAAAAGCATTTACGCAAGCAGACATACTACTTGAAAAAGTAGATAAACTTCAAGACTTTTTTGGAATTTTGTAAAAATTAGGGTTTCACAATTTAATTTGATATTTGAATATTTGATTTGATTCGATCAAATTCAAATCAAAGAATGATTTATTTGATCAAATCCAAATTAA